GAGGGGGTTTGCCCATTTTAACACAACGTGGTGGGTTCTTCCCCCGTTGGGGGGAGTGAGGGTTTTCCCCCCCGCACAACATGATTTACTGGACCACCATTATGGTGTACCGCCAAAAAAAAAAAGGGGGTAAAAAAAAAAAAGCGGTAACCTGGTTGCCGAGTTCACGAAGTGAAATGGCTTGTTTTACAACGTCGGTGCCAAGGGAGGAAAACCCAACCCGGATGGTAAACACCGAGCGGGGGGCTTGTTTTAAAACGTGGTTGCCAAGGGACGAAAACCCAACCCGGATGGTAAACCCGGGGGGGGGGGGGGGGGGGACTATGTGTCCGGAATTTTGTTTAGCGAAGACCCTTGCCCAACGTTCTGTTTTACGGCCTCCGCCAACGTCGCTACCGCCAAAAAACGCATTACCGCCTACCGCCCAAACAATTACCGCCATACATCAACACCGCAGAAAAACTACCACCATGCGGCATTACCGTATCAAAATTACCGCCATATAGATAGGTACGCACATGTTTTTACGCCGAGTTCACTCTATAATGTGAAAGTCGCAGGTGAAAACGACAAAACAATCCATGGAAGTACATGGTCAATCTTCGGGAAAGTGGTTTGCCGTCTGCTCGGGCGCGGTAACATAGGACCGTAATTGCCGTCTTGTTTGGTGTCGCTTGAAGTTGTGGCCATATGGCAATGGCAATCATTACCGCCGCCGTGAAATTACCGACGTGGTGGGAGGTCCCGGTAATCCACCGTTTCACCTCCATTTTTATAGTTTACCACCTCCGCCAACTTCGTTACCGGCGAAAAACGCGTTACCGCCTACCGTCGAGACTATTATCGCCGTATGGCTGCCGAAATTCAATTTTATCGCCTCCGCCAAAGTCGATATTGCCGAAAATCGTATTACTGTTATGGTATTTGGATCCTTGGACTAAGATACCATCTGGGCGGGTATATCTTTCAGGAATATCCCGACCACATGCCCAGATTCCTAGAATTCCGACTTTAGGCAGGTAGCAGTACACTGGTTACTAGCAGCAGCAAGCGATGTGCAAGCGTTCCACCGTGCTCAGTGTGTTGCCTGGTGTTCCCTGGTGTTGCCTGGGAGTGAGCGATAGCGAGCGACTGAGAGAGAAAGGAAGGATATGGAAGGAAACAGACTGAAGAAGCGAAGCGGCTCCAACCTGCACACAGGGGTCGGACTAGCTCCACACTGAACCCGCGTCAGAGATCGTCACATCTCGTCACATTACCGCCAGCGACAAAACAAACTCCGCCGTAGGCAATACAGCCGAAATATTACCGCCTAAAATTGGTTTTACGGCCCCCGCCAAAGCCGCTACCGCCGAAAAACACACTACCGCCTACAGCCAATACAATTACCGCCAAATGGCATTACCGTCGAAAGTCCGCCCGCCGAAAAAAACGCTACCGAGTAAAGCCTTGGCATGTCCTTCTCAAAGAGAAAAACCTGAGTGGGTGGCAGTAAATTGGACCAGGGTAGGTAATCGTGCATGATAGTCAGACGCCTCTCTCTTCGTCGACGCAAATGTGTCCGAATACTAAAGGATGCCACGAGAGCTTCACTGGACACCAGGACGGCGAGATCATGAGCCCGGGACCAAAAGCGGCTTGAAACACGAACTCTTCAACAGCGCCCTATCAGGACGTAACAACAGCCCTGTTCGCGGGTGAGAAAAACCACGTACACACCCATGCACGTGCTCAGGGAATATCCACCACGCTAGCTGATCGTCGTTCTGAATATCCCAACGGACAAGAAAAAACCAACGTGGGACAAGCCTCAAAAAGAAGCGTTCCCGTCAATCGATGAACGAACGCTCTCTGGGAACACCCTCCCTGTCCTACTGTTTTCTTCCATGACCAGGAGACAACCAAAAGCTAAGCAACTACTACTGTACATGTAAAATGTTGTCATTCTCGTAGAGATAAACCCCACCCATTCAGAAAACAGAACATACATCAATCTCCAGAAATAGCTCACGTGCAACCTTCTCCTGAAAGTCAAAAGTCTCCCCATTCCCTT